CATATTATTCTTTTCTTTACGGGATATTGGCAAGTGCAAAAGTTGATTTCTTTGTACAATTTGTAAATTGCAGTCTCTGCTGCAAATGTGAAAGCAAGAATTAACAAAAGCACAAACATACTACACGTAATAGTTTAAGGTAAGCTCTAGTACTTTTTAATTCAAAAATATTTTGTGAGCGTACATAACACAAGTTTTCGATAAATTGATTGATATTATATATATTATAAAAATTTTAACTGATGTAGCAGTGGTATATTGCATCTGAAATTCTCTTACCATCACTCCTGAAGATAGGAAACTTTCTCAGTAGCAATATTCTAGAACTTTTCTAAGAAATTGTGTCTAGAACTTGATGGAAATATTATCACAAAATCAGGGCGACAACTGGGCGAAAGTTGTCAAGTATATTTTGTTATCTTTGTGGGGAATTTTTTCGCATCTTCTATAATATTTGTGGAGAATCTCTTAGTTTGTTTCAATGCTTTAGTCATTTATAACTATCTTATCAGGACTAGGTCATACTTGCCCCTGGCATGTCATTTCATTCAGTTTCCCTTGTCCGTAATTTGACACAATTCAATTCTTATCAATGCACATAAATTATGCATGCATATCTTAGTCTTAACTTCATCTGCTCAGTGTACACCTTCACATACCGTAAAACCCATACCATTTCAAGATGATTTTAATTGTATTATTCATGTTGGCGACAAGTTTTTTTTATTTGACATCTATATTGATCTTTTCTTCTTGTTTACGATAAAAAAGGTTTACATTTTCATTTTGGGATAACTTACATATTTTGAATGGAATATGTTTGTGTTTTTCATTGGGTAATATTATAATTGATGTTCACATAGCACGTACAAGCACAATTGCATTAAATTTGTCTGGCATTTTCTAATGCAGCTAAAGCTATTATGCGTGGATTCTTAGGCCTCATGTGTTCCTCCTCCCCATTTGAGGAACAAAAGCAAGAGTAGTTTAATTCCTTTCAAAATGGACTTTGCTCATGTGATAGTCTGCACTATTTGTATCAAACCAAATTTCTCATTGTTTTAGGAGGAGAAAAGTGAAAGTTAACCGCGTTTCAATTTTTGTTGTTGGGTTGAACACCCTATTGCAGTCATGGTTTAGACTAAATTTGTTTGGTTGATGTTACGATCCAAGCTCCATATCCGTTCTTGGTCTACATCCCATCTCATAAAATTTTATGGTGTTATGATGACAACAATATCTGAGACACCTCTTTAAAAACACAATGTGTAGATTACACTTACTCATGCTTCTATTATGATAGCATAGTGTCAAGAAACTACATTTTAAAGATGGCCATATTAATAGATTTAGAAGAACTCAATGCCATATGGGACATCAGCCAAGGAGGAACCAAGTAAAGCTTGTTTTGTTCAATTGCTTGAGAGTCCTTACCTTCACAAACAATCGTTACGACTGTAACATAATGGAAATATATTGCAACGACATCTTAGTACACGTAGCGTGAAACTTACATTGATGCTTTGCGCCTTATGTCTGCTCTGACAAACAAGAATTAAGGTCAGAAAAAGGGGTTGCATGACATTATAAAACACATGAACAACGTTCAAAACCAAAAAAACTAACCAATTTTCCTTGTTCACTCTTGTAACCCCTTGGAGTGAATCCCTATTCCTATGTAGTTATCTGCGTTCTGCTCATGGTTATGAAAATGAAACTTGCACAACTTATTTTATATTTTTATCCCCTCAATTTCTAATTGTCATTTCAAGCATGTGAATTAGTATATATAAGGTTATTAGCTTTTTAGTGAATAGATATCTAAAAAAATTGAAAAGTGTGAATGGACTCACAAGAGTTAGTTTGCTATTTATAAGATCATCTGTGTTTACTTATGTAGTAAATTTTGAAAAAAAGTTATTCACAACTTAGACATACATTAATTTGTACTTAAAATAATTCAAGTGCAACGCATGTATGCACCAACTAATATCTTAAAATTTAAAACAAAGCTCACCTTGCACATGCACAAAATTAATGTTTGAGAAATAAACAATTCTGAGTCTAATCCAGCACCAAATCACCCAAATGCAGTGAATTTTCAGTGGCTACAATCTAATTCGTCGAACTTTCAAACCCAAATTACGAAAGCCTTGTCCACCCAAACCGTAATTACAGAATGTGAGCAAAACACTGAGATTGGTAAAGCAAAACACATCAACATAGACCCAGATCATCAAACACTGAGATTCGAAGCATTCAAAGTGATAGTTAACTCAAAATTTTTAGATATCAAGTTTATCATTCAAAATTTGTGCATTCAAGCATTCAATACTGGTATACACAAAAGGAAGTATCTTGAATTGAAATCCAAATAAACGGTTCATGGGGTCTCTGAAATTCGAAACACAAAGTGACAGTGAACTCCAAGAATAAGGTTTTAAAGTGTGTGCTATGCCGCTTTATGTTTGTATGCACGTTCGTGTGTGTATGTGTGTCTGTGCGTGTACATGAACAAAAAAAGCTAGAGAAATAGAGAGAGAAGACGTACCTGAGGAATGCGTGAGCAGCAGCGGGACGCACAGAGAGATAATAGGGAGTGCGAGAGAGAGAGAGAGAGTAGTGGCTTGCGGAGTTTGGAGGAAGAAAGGAGAATTGGAGAAGACATTAGGGTTTGAAATAGGCGGCAAATTAGGGCAATTACTTTCTGGTATGGAAAAGAGATCACCAAGATCAACTAATATTATGCACGGCAGATCAAATAGATTGCCTCACTGCATAAATTAGAGTGTGAGAGATCACCTGTTGTGTGTTCGTTGCGTTATGTGTTGTGAGTTGGAGAGAGAGAGAGGCAAAAATTAGAACTAGCGTCTATAAGGTTTGCTTGTGTTGACCGGTTGGAAATTGCTTGATATTTGGGAATGAATTGAGAGAACTAAATTCTTGGATGTTAATTATGAAAATTGTTTTTTGAGGGACAAAACAATTTGAAGAACTACTCTAGTACGCTGGATCGAAATAATTAGAGACATCAATAATTTGAGACAAAATAGAATAACATTATCTGTTAGATGAGACCTTATTTTATCACGAAATAATATCAACCACTCTTTGTCTTTGAATTCAAACTTCACCCTCTTTTATTATATAGATATAGATGTAAGGTAATGTTAAAAAAATCTTCCTGAAATACTTTTTATTTTCTAGTTTTTAAAATAATCGTTATTAAATGTCTTTCTTATTTTTTAATTGAATTTGCTCCTTTCTCCAAGATCAATAGTTTGCATAATAGTACACATGCATGTATATATATACTAGTTATTACTTGTGCCTTAAGGCACAAAGTAACAAAAAATGGTAAATAATAAATATATTTGTATTCATATCCAAAATTAAATAACAAATATAGAGAAGTGATAAATGAATTTAAGTATTAATTATAGTGGGGGTGAAAGGGGTGAGCGATAGTGGTGGTGTTAGTAGACAGTGATGGTTGTAATGGGTGGTGACGGCAATGGCAGTGGTGGGGGAGGCAACGGTGGTGGTGGCGGTGCTGGGGGCGCGACGACGATAATAGTGGTGGTGATGGCGATGATGGTGGTGGCAGTGGTGGTGGTGGTGGTGGGTGAGTGGCGGCAGTGACGACAATGGTGGAGATGGTGGTAGTGGTGCTGTGGGCACGGCAGCAACAATGGTGGCAGCGATGGTGGTGGTGGTGGCGGTGGCCACAGTGACGGTGGTGACAACGATGACACTGACAGTGATGATAGAGGTAATAGTGGTCAGGGTGGTAGTGGTAGTGGTGAGACGATTTCAACACTTTTTTTTTTAAGTACTTATGAAAAATAATTTCTAAAAATATTTTTAAAAAATTACTCCAAACACCCTTAAGACTCTATTTTTCTTATTAAATTTAGGGTGTTAATAGTAACCGTTAGATTTACTTCACAGTAAAATTTAAAATAATCTAAACCGCGAAAAATGAAAGTCATTTATTTATATTTTAAAATTTGAATTGTAAACTAATTTATTATATACTAGTTATTGTCTATGCTTAAAGGTACAGAGTAATAAAAAATAGTAAACAATAAACATATTGATATTCATATCCAAAATCAAATCACAATCATAGATAAGAGATAAAGAAATTTAAACATCAATCTATAATAAGGGTGCGAGGTGGTGAGCGGTAGTGGTGATCGTAAAAAACGATAATAATTGTGATGGCTGACAATGACCGTAATGATGATGGTGGTGGCAGAAATAACGACGACAGTAGTGGTGATGATGGTGGCGATAGCGATGACGGTTATGGGGGTGGTGGTGGCAATGGCAATGAGGGGGTGGGGGGGGGGGGGCGGAGGTAGTGGTGATAGAGACGACGACGACAATGGTGGCGATAATGACAATGGTGGTGATAACAACAATAGTAATGACAACAACTACGACTATGGTAGTAGTGGTGGTGGTGGTGAGATAGTGATGAGACAGTTTCGAACACTATTTTTTTTAAGTATTTATGAAATATAATGTTTAAAATAATTTTAAAAAATCGCTCCAAATACACACTTAGAAGCTTATTTTTTCTATTAAATTTAAGGTGTTAATATTAACCGTTAGATTAATTTTAAAATAATATTTAAAATGATCTAACCGCAAATAACAAAAGTCATTTTATTTATCTTTTAAGATTTGAATTATAAGCTATTTTATTATATATAAATATACTACTTTTGATAAATGTAATAAACAATAAAAAGAAAAAACATATGGTAAAACTAAATCAGACACCTTCGGAGATAGTTAAATACTTCAATCCAAGAAATTCTCAAACCAAAACACCAAAAGGAAAAAAAAATTGTCCTAAAGTAGATTTTAACATCCACCTTCAAATCCAATTAGAGACTACATCAACTGACTCAACATAAATATATATTGTACCTTTCGGAAGAAAGTCAACACTAGCAGGCAGCATTACGGGCATCTCTCTCCTGCATTGTTCACTGACTAGGGGACTCATCTCTGACTGGTTCCCTTGAGTATTCCACAGGATATGGGCTTCGGCTTCGGCTTCGATCCCCAACTGCAGAACGCCCCCTTACAGGACTTCGGCTGCGATCCCTCAAGTCATCAAAGGGTGGTGGAGAATGATCCCTTCCTGGAGAACGCGAATATGACCTCTCTCGACTATGCTGCGAGTGTGACCTTTCATGTCCTCGAGGTGAAATAGACCTGCACAATTATTTTAAAAAAACTAAATAAATAAATAGACCCCATAAAATGGAAAGAACGGGAGAACATCAAAAAGTAATGAGCACCTGAAACTTTAATTGTAAGCAAATAAACAAGCCAATCAATAATACAGTACTAGTACAATACAAAGCAGAACAACAATAACTTACAGAGCTACGGTCATTTTGTAGAGCATTGGTAAAAAGAAGTCTCAATACCTTAAGAAAGCCTGAACTGTACAGTGAAACACAGCACACAGAACTGTATGTTATACCTTGAGTACTGTCTCCTCTTTGGAGGCGGGGAGTAGTAGTCAAGACTGCGGGATCGTGATCTTGCATTACGCGGTGGTGGAGATCGAGAATAACGAGCAGGAGACCGCCTTCGGTCATATCTACCCCCCCTGAAATATTAAAAAGACACATAGGTGTGCAATGATGAACAGACGACAACCAATATTTTTGTAAGAAACTAACAATGCTTAACAAATTTTGTAGCACACTAGCCCTATTTCGTAACAAAGCTAAGGCATTATAAGGGAACTGATATATTTAATCATCCTTGTTCACCTATCAAATTTTGATTCATCTTCTGAAAGGACGTTTGAGTTAAATAGACTGCACCAGGCATTATGCCATAGTAGATCCAAAAACTCGAAAACTATGCTAGGCACTAGGCTAAATGGCTATGGGACATTTACATGTATTGAATACACCTGAAATCCAGATGCCACCATAACATCTAATACTACAATTCTGTGGCATGCCTAGTGAAGATGTGTTCTACCAAGATAAATTCCCTGCTAAAACTAGGTAGGCAATAAATCCTAAAGAGATATTTACATTCTAACCAAAAATAGTTCAAGTAAGGCAAGGTTTAAAGAATTAAACACATAATTGAAATTCACCTCCCACGATCCCTAGCTCTCATATCAGATGGCTTCTTCCTGTTCTCCTCAGCAAATACAACCGTCAGCTGCCGGCCCAGAAGAATCTGCCCATCCATCTGATATTTAGCTTCTGCAGCATCGGCAGGATCTACATATTGGACAAAACCAAAGCCCCGTGGCTCCCTGCAATAGAGATCAAAATAGAAAGAATAAGAAATCAGAAAAATCAAAAAGATGACACTCTGATGGGTCATCACCCAAGCCACACCTTCAGGGGCTGTTTGAAAATTTCAAAAGCCCAGTCAGAACACTAGTCTGACAAGGTATGAATTTTCTGTGTTCAGTAAACTAAAATAACACTGTGGCAGTCAATCTTCAACCTGAAAACAGGAGTGCCTGAAGAAATTCAAAACCCAACTTAGATTTGAATTTCTCCTGAAGAAGATAGTGCAGTAGCCTCTTACCCTCAGTAATAAAACTTGCTAAAACAATACCCAATAACATGGAAGGCCATTATAAGCAAATAGGCAAGCACACGGCTGCTGACCTTGCAAGTGTCAATTTTAAGATGTCTCGAAATTCTTCAAGACTTGAATTCTTCAAAATCTATTCAAACCCAATCCCCTTCAAATCTTCACTACCATTAACATCACCTTGAACAGAACTCTTACTACTTGATTGAAGTCAACAGAACTCTTACTACTTGAATGTGTCAAGAGAACTCTTATTACTCGATTGAAGTCTTCAAAACTTTTATTTCACTGTTAAATCTCAACAGCTTTAGTACAGCAACCCAATTAGAAACAATAGAAGAGTAGAAAATGAATAAGCAGCAGAGCAAAATTAAAAAGAGAGTTCATGATGAAAGTGTAAAGCAAAGAAGCGGTAGCTTGATGTAATGAAACACATATACATGCTCAAAAGGGAATGTGCAAAGCTCCATTTTGAAACAATTTAAATGAGCACAATAATCTGCAAATCTAAATGCGCAAGCTACACAAGCTCACCCAGAATAATAGTCTTTTGGCAAGTAAATGTCCTTAAGAGGACCAAATTGCCCAAATGGCCTCCGTAGGTCTTCCTGCCTGCATTTCGAGCATAGCACAAAACATGAATAAACACGCCCTGGGATAAATGATCAAATGGACAAAAATACTTAAAAAAATCTAAATTGTATCTACAAGCAGTAAAAGAAAAGGCATTTAATACCAAGTGTGCAACTCAGCTACCTACCAAATTCAAAGGAATGACATATTTATTGAATCTACAATGACAGAGTCCAAACAATCCATTATAAGCATGTCTATTTATGTGTTTGTGCAAGACACATGCGTCACACACCAACAGAGTTTCCTGATACTGAAAATCCACATAAATCTTTAATGCAATCATAAGCAGTTGAAGGATTTCTTTCCTACTTTAGAAATTATAAAAAGAAATCCACAGTAGAATGAGAAAAAGAAATGAAATGACTAACAACCTCTCATTATCCATACAAACAGCAGTTTTTCATTTTTTTTTTCTTTTGAACAACTACGAAACAAGTAATATGGCCATCAAAGGAGTATTAAGTTTTACTTTCACCAAATAACAAAAAAATTATTAACAAAATAGCCGTTGCAAGATATCAACCACCATCCAATTTACAAAGCTATCCACTATTTCACGTTACCAACCAAATTAATTACGGATAAAAAAGTGGAATGCAATCCGCAGATGCATTGAATATAAAAAGCATACATGTTTTCATCTAATCTAATCATCTTCCACCTTCCACTTTATTTCTAAATTTAACTGGAACAAATTATATCTTAAAACCACACTGCTCTACATACTCCCCATGCTGCGTGAGCACCACATAAATGAGACTTATGTTGACCTCAGCAAAAAGCGAACCATAGTTATTAAACCCCGAGTATTTGGAATGGTTTTTGCAAGCTTGCAATAGAGCTTCGTACCATTAAATTTGTGCTGGGTTAGGTTATAACAAGATTCTCAGATATGATAGATATAAAAGTGGTTGTGGTGTTTGTATTTGGTTTTAGGTTGAAAGAAGATTTGTTGAAAGAAGGCAGAGTTACTAAAAATTCAGGAAAGAGGTGTTCTTAATGTAATGGCAAATAAGGTCATAGGTTTTGTAAGAGTTCATTTGAAGCCAAATGAATTGAAGGATTGAAAACATGGTAATCAAATTCCGGATTTGGATCGTATGATCTGGATCCAAGTCTCAAAAAATCCCTGTTTATATAATCTTAATGGATCAAGATCCAAATCATGCCGGATCCTCAGATTCCGATCCCCATAGTGATTTTGCCAATCCATGTTGTCTGGCTCATTTATAAGGTGTCTTTAGTTGTTGTGCATGCCCAGCCCATATTTATTTCTCTAATACTTTCACACACATCCCATATGTGATTGTCGGATTGAGATCCCCTCTATACATTTTCACTTCAATTCCCATTTTGGCTAAGAGGATTCATTGTCTACATGTGGGTCCATCACTCGTCAATGGTTGTTTATCCGCCAAGGAGAATATTGAAAAAAAAGAGTATTCGAGGGGATTTGAGTTTGTGATTATCTTGATCACTTTTGAGTCTTAGATAATTTCAGAGGGTGAAAAAGCTACAAAAAGCTCTCTCTATGGAAGCTCTCTTCATTCACGAGTGACGGTTAAGCTTATTCTCTTCTCTTTCGACAAGTGATCACAACAAATTATATGTTTCATTTTATTCTCCTCCACTTTTTTTGTGGGATTTCAGCAGTCCCTCGACTTTCCTAGTCTCACTGCTTCTATCTCCATCTCTCTTAAAGTTATCACCAAAACATTCTACTCTTACCAAAATTGCACCAGATTGACACCCTATTTTTGATTTTCTACTCTCTTCAACACCCAAATAGTAGTTTCCCTAAGTTAATTATCTCTATTTCAATAAATTTTTCATAATATTTCTACATTTTGCACATAAACAAGATTGTCTAGTATCCGTTTTTAAGATTTGTATATATGTAATTTTGCACATATTTTTAATCTTACTGGAACTTACAATTCTCAATCCCGATCCATAGATAACATGATCGTATATATCCCTAGCGTCCCACGAACCGGGGTCGCATGACCCGAAACAGGGTAGGTTAGCGATCTCAAATTCTCAATTGCTTAGAGTTCCAAACCCAACTTATAATTCAAACTGCAAATAGATTCATGATCTAAGCAATCCCATATCATAACCTAAGCCTAAGTCATAACATTAACTTGTTATTTATTTATTCTGGTGTACTTTAAAATACGATCCTTTAGCCTCTCCCCCCAATGGATCCAAAGTATGATCCTAGTTTTAAAAACCTTGGTTGAAAAATGGATGAAGCTTCTTTGGGTGTGGATTTGGTAATCAGACTAATGCATCTAAGGGCGGTTCTAAGCCTTCCATGGATTATTCTACTACTACAAACCTTATTCCAAGAACAATATGGAAACAATAATGAGAGAGACAAGTGGCAATAAACTTGCAAAGTTGTAGGGCATAAAAATGGTGCTCCCAAGGCTCAAACTATAATTTGGCACATGTTAGATAATGTGGAGTCCACTTAGGACCTTGCATAATTTTAAATGAATCTAGTTTTAGTCTTATTTTTTTAATTTTTGGAAGTTAGTATACTAATAGTTTTATTGTAGGTATTTTTCCTATTTTTTTCAAAGTCGGGTATTCTTAATTTTCATACTTGTAGATTAGTATTACCTGTGGATAGTCCTTTGGATCTACATTTGAAATTGAATCTTAAGTTTCTAGATTTAGATTCATAGTTATAGTCTATATAAGTTTCCTAGCAATATGTAATTAGCAATGTTGTAGGGACCTAATTCAATGCAATCATTGGATTAGTTGTAAGTACTAATGTTAGATGGAGCCCACTTTCAATTCAATAGTTGCATTGAATTAAGTTCAAATGGCATTTTTCATATGTAATTTAATTTTGGAGTGCAATCTTGTTAGGCTAGGAAATACCAAGAGGCCCATATACACCCATCAATGTTTCAAAAAATTTGAGAATATATGTTTTGCGAATTGTAAGATGCAATTCAGAACGTTAGGTCTAAGATTCCTAGTTTCTTCTTCTTCTTTTGTTTATTTTGCAGCAAGTATCTGCGCAAAAAAACCCATAAGAGATGGGATATATTTATCTATATATCCTTGAACAAAATCTTGAAAACCCGCCCCTTCCTTTCCCTTCCAATCCAAACTCTAACCCACAAGCTACAAACTTCAACCCCAAATTTACAATTTATGATTAGTGTTCACATCTGCTGAATAATGCTGATTTTTAGATTCATTGCTATCCTACATAAAATGACTTTGGTGTTTCTTCACCACTTTATTCAAGCCAAAAGTCAATAATTTATGAGAAAATAGAAAAAGAAGGACAACACAACACCCTCGCAAGGCTTATCACAAAATTCGATCATAATTCATATAAAATCATCTATATAAAAACAATAAGGTCATAATACATATTTATAGCTAAAAGACTCTCCTAATACTATTAAGGAGTAGGACACAAAATTCAGAAACTGCAAATTTTCTAGACCAGCCATGACTCCAAATAACATTCACACTACTGGCACTGGATGCAACTTTGTGACCTATACACTCGGGATTCTAGTTATGTCCAACAATTATCGTAACGACCAAAGTAACCTTGACACAAAAAAAAAAACAAAACAAGAATATATATGACCAGCAACATACTAATTTAGAGTAAATCATAATGAAGACTCTATAAACTACATTGGACGCTTTATGTTAGACCAAAAGACGACCATTTGCTTGCCGTAGGGTGAAAATCCAGAGGAAATCAAAACAAAATATCACTGTGTTCATTATCATCACATCTCTCTCTTTCTCTCTCTCTCACACACACACACACTGTCTCACACACACACACGCACACACACACAAAGAGACACACCACATACCTACTATTCCTTCTTAATTGCACAAGCTGTATAGGTCATTTGTCATTTGTCTCTCTGACTTTTAAGTTGACGTCATAAAAAACAATGTAAATAAATACTCTACAAGGCATTGGCACAAGTGGCATCAATAGAACTGAAAGTTCTGAACCTATTTCCCAACAAAACTAAGTCACATTGGAGGTCACCCTCGCCACTACAGAAAAAAAAAAGATCAAAGATTTATGCAACTGAAATTCCTGCCTACTGAAGGGCGATGAAACAAGTAGAACCACCTTCCAACTGGATCAACAATTTAAATTGCCTACATTATACCAATTTACAGCATAGTTATTTAATGACAGGAAGTATTGAACTGAGTAATTAAAAAAAATAAAAGTGAAACTAGTAACGGAATAGAGCAAAATTGAGCCTTTTATAAAACATGAGAAAAGCTCATTAAGATCAAGGCAATCGCATGGAGATTGATATCACTAAACAAAATCCTTTGGTCATACCAAGACAGCCATCACAAAGGAAAGCACCATAAAAATATGAACGCGTGCAAATTTTAATAAGAGCTATCCAACATTTCAGAAGAATACTTCTCAACATCATAAAGTGGCACCAAAACTTTAAACCAATGCAAGTATCAAACAATTGAAAAAATAGGGCCATAATCTTTAGTCATTCAACAGGGCACTATCAAATCAATGAACACCAACA